CTCAGGGCCGTCTGGGTTTGAGGGACATAGAGCCATGAGGTCTCAGGAGCGAGGCGACCCTAACGTGGATGTTCCCCGTTTACTTCCTCCGCCACCCGGGTCCTGCTGGCGGGTGGTGGTGGGGGGGGCGCTGGGGGCACTGGGAAGGGGCCGCAGGTCGCAGGTAGTTGCTTGGTTGAACTGAAGTCAAGGCCAAGAGGCGCCCTGGGCAGGCGAGGATGGGGCTTCTTCCCACTTCCGTGGGGAGGGCCTGGGCTGGGCCCCTCCTCATTCAGCTTCCTGAGTGGGAGCAGGGCTCCCTGGGGGCCCACGTGGAGGGTCCTGGTGGACTCTGGGGCCTTCAAGGGGCTGCTGGCCTGGTGCGGCCAGCCTTGGGGTCCCTCCCTTCCAGGCCCCTGCCATGTCCCTTGTCCCTGTCACTGCCTGGGGTGCGGCGAGAGAGCCCCTCACCTTCACCCAGGGCAGCCAGCCTCCCCGCTCTTCCCCTGGGGCATGACTGTGGGGCCCCGCTGGGCCTCAGACATCATTGGGGAAACTGAGTCTCCCTCTGGAGGGGGGTTGTCATGAGTCAGGACAGACAGGGAGCGACGGCAGAGCTGGGGCTGTCCCCAGGGCTTCTCCTCCAACCCCAGCCCCATGGGGGGGCCTCGTGGGGGCAGGGTCCCTGAGGCCCTCCCCTCCCCCAGCCATCAAGGTGAAGGGCAGTGCCCCTGTCCGGCAATGTTCCTGCTGCCAAGTCCCTGTCCCCCTCCCTCCACCCCCCACCCCTTGACTGGCAGCTCCAGGGGGCAGCTGGATCACGCGGCCCAGAATAACCCTGGGAGGGGCTGGGAGAGGGGTCACAGGCGAGTGTGTCCTCCCCTGAGCTGCCCGAATCGGCCGGGCCAATCAGCTGCTCCCGACGCTGCGCTTGCCTTTCAAGGCAGGCACGCAGGGGAAGGAGCCGCAGCTGCCAGCCAGGCCCGCGCTGCCCGTCCGCGTGACCCCTCCTTCCGGGCCCTCAGTTTCCCTAGATCGGCAGGGAGGGCTGGGCAGTGGTCTTCTCGCTCTGCTCCTGTCACTTGGGGGCCCTGAGAGGTGCTTGAGGGGGAGCAGCGGTGGGGGGAGCAGTTGGGCACAGCAGGCGGAGCTCAGGGTCCCCATTTACAAATGGAGGGGTGCCTCACGGGTGCGCCCAGCCCTTTGTAAACTGTGAAGTGCCGCGGACAGCAAGGGCCTGTCTCATCGCTAGGGCTCCTGGGTCACTGCTTCCGAGCCCCTTCTGAGGCTGGGACGGTTGGGGTTCAAACCACGCTTCTCACACGGGGCCGACTTGAATGATGGCCCCAGACTGTGAAAGACGGTGTCCAGCCTTGAAAAAGAGGGCCCGGCAGTCTGGGGCTGAGGCGCCCCGCCTAGGACCTGGGACTGGAGGTGGCCTGGCACGCGGACACGCCGGCTCTGTGGCCGGTGGCCGGGGCTGGGGAGGGGTGGGGTGTGTGGACGCAGACATCCCGCGTCATCGTCCGGGCGGTGGGGGGCGATTAGATTCTACTCACTCGAGTGGCTGTTTCCTCAGTGTCGGCCGGGAGGCAAACAGGACCCTCGCCACTCAGCCCTGTTACCAACTGGGGTCCTTCCCAGGTGGGAGTGTGCCCCGCGTCCCGGAGTTAAATGGGGAGATTGAGCCGGCCCAGTGCAGGGAGGAGGAGGCAGGGGTGGCGCTCAGGGTCAGGGTGTCCCCCCCACGGCGGGGTGAGAGACCAGGGGCAGCCCCACCGGGGCGGGCAGTGGCCCTCAGGGGCCTTGAGGGACCCTCAGGCCCAGAGAGGCCCATTTCATTCTATGGCCCACACAGCCAGCCTCGTGGCCCAATGGGAGTCGGCCTCCCTCTCCCCAAAAGGCTCACGGAGTCATTGCCAATGCACTCCGGCTAATTCGGCTGTCGGCGGAGGGACGGGACAGCTGGCCCGGGACCTGCTAATTATAGCCGCTCACGTATTTGAACCGAGGGACTGAGTGCCCTGTGTCACGATTTTTCTGCAGACAGAACAACGCTTTGACCTTCCTTCCCAATCGCAGGCCCACCCCGTTATGTGCCCAGCCTCCCCCCAAAGCCCACGCCACCCGGGGGGGGGTCAGCATGGGACCCCTGCCCCAGTCCTACCTTTGATGCAGGTATTCACTGGATTCGCTTCCTCCCTCTTGCCTGGGACCTGGCTTCTTCCTAAAAAGTTATTGGATAAATTAACATCTTTATTATGCAAGTGCAGGTTGTGGGATGAGTATTAGAGCAAGCGAAGCCTTCCTTCCGTGACCGCACGGTGGCCGCGTTTGGCTCCCTCCGTGAGATTGCTGTGTGCTTGCTAAGTGCCAGGCCCTGTTTTAATTCTCTTCATGTCTTAGAACAGCCTGTGGAGTTCCTTTCGTTACCCCATTTTCAAGAAGGGAAAACTGAGGCCCGGGGCATACCTCAGGCCACTCACGTCTCTACCAGGCACTGAGCCAGGCCACACGTCCACCCAGCTGAGGGCTGCAGTGGACTCTGTCCAGCCCCCTGTCTTTGCTGGACCCCCATTTTGCTCTCTAGCAAATGCACTTCCAAGATGGATGTGAGTCTGCAGCCCCGCCTCTCGTTTGACCCCCGTGAACCTCCCAGGTCCCTGAGCTCTGACTCCAAGGCAGTTTGAGGCAGCACCTTCCTAGGCTGGGGGTCCCGCCCTTACCTGGAAGCCCTGCCCCGGTCCGGAGGACCCCTGAAGTGTTTTGCTCTGGCCCCTGGTGTCAGTCTGCACTCGCTGCTCCTGTGTCTGCCCTTCCTCAGCACACAGTGGGGCTGCTGGCAGCAGCAAGGCCCAGGCGGCAGCCAGGACCAGTGGGCTGCGCCCCAGCCGGGCCAGTGAGCAGCTTGTCTTCCCTCCCAGGTGCCCGAGGTGAGGTGGCGGCTTTCTCCCGGAAGGGAGCGGATGCCTGGCCCAGGATGGAATCAAAGGTCTGAAAAATTGATCTTTTCTGCCCCTCATTTGTATATTTGAACAATTTGTAAACGCGTGCACGCCTCTGAATGGAACTAACTCAAGCCCTTGGTCCTACAGCCGAGGCTCGCTGCCCCCGAGGGCAGCGAGTCGTGGGCTCCCGGCTGGGGGCGGCCGCGCCCGGCCCCGCGGACGGCACGCCTGCCCCGAGGTGCGCCGGCCCTCCGAGGCTGACCTCGCAGCAGACCAGGTACGAGGGCCCGCCCTGGCCCGCTGACGGCCTTTTGGGGGAGGGCGAGGCCTTGACAAGTTGGGGGTCCCACGGCCTTCATATAGGAACGTAATTAAAAATCCAGGATCATGCTCGTGACTGAGGGGGCCCAGCCCTGAATACTCTGCTGTGTCGTAGGCAGAGCCTTGAGTGCGGGATGGCAACAGAGAGCCACTCCCACTGGCAGAGGGCGGGTCGACCTGCGCACGAGGTCCCGTTTGGGAACAAGTCCCTGCAGGCAGAGGGGAGAAAAGTTGCAGAAGATCAGCACACTGGGAGGAGAGCCCCTCACCGATGAGCCGGGTAGTTGCTCTGTGTGCCCTTTTGGGCTCAGAGCTGGCTTGGTGTTGTGCCCTTGTGTCCCTGAGCCTCAGTCAATGTCTTTGTCTGCAGGTGGCAGTGGGCTTGGCGTTGCACATGCAGCCTCATGCTCCATTCAGGGATTCTAACACCTGAGACAGGTGGAGGGGTTCAGGCGGGCCCTGAGGGGAAGGAGGGGTGCGCCGTGCTGCCCTGGGCGTGCGTGAAGGGGCCCGGCAGAGACCTGTGAGGCTGCCCCCACTGTCACGGAGTGGAGAGGTCAGGAATGCCTTGGCCTCATGCCCCCTTGGTTAGAACCGGGAGGAAACGTGGCTGCTGTGGGTTCCGCACGGGGTCGAACTGTCGGGGACGCAGCAAGGCCGGCCCTTTGCCAGGCAGCCGCCCGGCTGCGGTGCCTGCCTGTGAGCTGTGTGGCTGCCACTCCCCAGAGGCCTGTGCCACTTTCCCCCCGGGCCGATCCCATGTCACACTCTTGTTCCCATCAGCTAATCCCGGAGGACACAGGCCAGGGCATTAGCTTTCGGGGCCTCTCATTAAAGACCGAAAAGGAAAAAAGAACTCCCTGAGGGGTGCATTGCAGACACCCGGGGGGCGGCCCCAGGGCGGGGGGGCTGGGGCCCTCGGTGGGTGGCGAAGTCGGAGCCGCAGCCCCGCACCTGCTGGCCTCCCGCCACTGCCCCGCCCTGCGGAGGCCCCCAGGCTCCAGCCTCAGAATGTGTGGAATTAAGAAAGGAATGGTCTTTGGGATAAAATAGCCCCCGCCCCCCGTGTCTGCAGAGCTTGTTTTGGGGGTCGGTCCGTTCCTGTGCTCCGTCAGCCAAAATGTCCTCCTCTCAGTGTCCATTAAAAACAAAACAAAGGAAAACCCCACTCGCAAATGTTTATTTCTAATGGTGCGAGAAATGCATTGGTAATTAATACACTCATGACCAAAAAATCGAACACTGCCGATACAAGCCAAAGCCCGCTTCGGGGCCCCCTCCGGCGCAGCGCCCCCGCCCCCGCCCCCTGACGCCTGCCGTGGCCTTCCGCATCCCGGGTGCCGAAGGTTTTCTGGGTGTTGGCACATGTATAGAAATAGACCTCTAAAGTGTATCATTTTGCTTATTTTTTGCAGTAACTATATCATAATGTGCATTTCCTTGTTGGGCAGCTTGTTTTTCTTCCCTAAGGATTCTGCTTAGATAAGGATCAGCTTCATCCCTTAGAACAACACTGGCCCCATCATCGCACACAGCGAAGGCGGTTTAACCGCTTCCTGGCTCTCACGAAAGCCCCTCGCTTCTCCCCATCCCACCCCACCCCCGGTGGCAGAGCGGGGGGAATGGACGGCGGAGGCAGGTGTAAGTAATTGCTGAGGTCTGGATGTGTGGAGTGGGCTCCCGAGTGTTTATGGCATTATTACAGATGAATATAGGAACGCATAAATTAGCACAGTAAACCAGGGACACGCCTGGACCAGGGATGAGAAAGTGTTTATGAACAAAAGATCGTGATTAACCCAGTTCTGCGCAAAATACTGACGTCCATTAGGAGACAGTGGGGCTCGGCTCTGCCATTCTTTTTAAGAGCTGTTTAATATTCCGGGGTGTGTCCGTGGCAACGCGGACCAGCCCCTCCTCTCCTGTGGAGAACCCCCCACCCCCGTGTGTGTTGGGGGTGGTGTGTGTGTGCAGAGGAAGCTTTGGTCAAAAAGTCCTCGTCTTCAGGGTGGCCGATGGGCTTGTGGGTGCTTGTAGTAAAAAAGGGATACACGTGAATACGTAGAATGTAAGTGTTCCTGGCATAGATAAATGAGGAGGGCATGTCACGAGCCAGGGTTTTAACTAATATAATTCTGCTTCACTGATGCCCGCTCACAAAGGTCTAAGGGGGGGATCCCATGTTTTGTCCTGGCTGGTGCCCCTGCGCTGAGCACCGCGGAGCTGTATCTGCAAACACCGCCCCTTCACCCCGGGTCCTGGAGCTGGGGGCGGGGGCTGCGCGGGCCAGTCCGCAAAGTTTATTTTCACTGAGTGATTTTTCTTAAATGCCACTTTGACCTCGTCATTATCTTGATTTAAATCCTTCATCTGACTTCCTGTGGCGTCTGGGATACGGCCTGAGAGCTTGAGGCCCTTGGGGTCTGGCCGGAAGCCCGTGCCTCATGCCCCTTCCTGACCAGTCCCCGTGGGAGCGCTGCCGCGCCCTCTGCCCCCTGTCCTCTCCTCGGCCCTCACACCCAACTGTGGAGGCGCCCCCCGGCCTCGTGCCAAAGTCCGCCGAGCTCAGCCCCCCGTTGCGATGCCTCATGGACATGTCTTCCTAGCCCCAGATGATGATGTGCCTTTTTCTAGATTTCATGATACAGGCCATGTGTCAATCAGCCCCTCTCCGTTGTCCCTTCCAGGACGCTCGGGCCCCATCTTGCCTGGATCTGATGCCCCCTCGCTGAAACCCCCTCCTGTTCTACCCCGGGCCCCCGGGCCCCCGGGCCGTGTCGGAGGACGGAGCTGAGGATGGAGCTGCGGCCCGGTGAGTCCTCACAATACGATCGCACTGCAGACACACCCCAGGTGGACACCCCCCTGCCCCATGGCCCTGTCATGCCGCCTCAGGGGAGTGAGCGCCAGCGACGTGTTTTGGGGGCCCTGTCACAGCCTGCAAGTGGCAATGGTGTCTTTTGTGGTCTGCTCCTCACCAGAGGGAAATGGGCTAGTCCCAGAACTTGAGGACAAGGGAAGTCCTAGCATGTGACAACAGGGCCACCAGCTGGGGTGCTGTTGGCAGCTCTGGGGAGAGGACATGGTTGAGTGTGGTGTGGTGCTGGCACCTTCGTGACAGTGGCATGTTCTAGTAACGAACACAGGTTTTGAGGTAGAGGGCTACCCTTGGGGGGAACAGAAGTCACAGGCATGTTCAAGGTCTCGAGGGTCAGGGGTGAGGAAGGGGCACCCCAAGAGGCCTGCCATCTTGAACACAAACTCAGCTGCAGAGCAGACATAGAGCTGTGTGTCCTTTTAAGTCCCCCAGGTGTTCCGTGCCTCAGTTTCCCGATATTAAAAACAGTAACCGTCGTCTCCCATGGGCACCCAGAGAAAGACGGCACCTATGACTTGTCAGCGCAGTGGCCGGCGCGCTGTCCCCAGCCCCAGTCGGTAGCCTGGCCAGTCCTGTCCCCTCCTGAAGTGCTCAACCCTCCCTCCTGAGACGGCAGCTCCTCCCAGGGCACCTCGGAGGAAGACAGAAAGGCCCAGAGACAATGCGAGTGGGGCATGAAAGTCTGCGGACCCCCCCCACCGCCGCCCCGGCGCAGACCCCCCGAGGGCCGCGCCGGCCTTTCCGCCACACCTGGGGGCCCACGCGGTGGGGGCTGCCCCCCGGCTCTAATTGGGTTCTCCTGAAAAGTTTGGCGATAGTTTATTTCATTTAATTTTTAAAATATATATAAAATGTCAGACTACTCTTCAGGCAGATTTTTTAGGCTCGTGTTTTATAGGCTTTGGCAGGCGTGGCTCGGAAGGAACAGTGGTTCCAGTCTCCAGAGGCTCATAGTTCCTGGAAGAACTTCTGGCTAAACCTGACTTCTCCTCAGTTTCACAGAACCGGCTCCGGGGCGGGCCTGGCCTAAATGGGGGTTTTGTGCCGGGGCGCAGCCGCCCCCTGGGAGCGGAGCAGTGGGAGCGGGGCTTGCGCGCTGCCTTTTACACAGTGAACTTCCTCGGCCGCTGGGCACAAAGGGCCCTCTCTCCAGAGCTTCGGGTCTGTTTACTCTGCCGTGTGGGCTTGGTCACACCGGGGCTGCTTTCTCCACGGCTGCGTGCGGAGCTGCCCCTGCCGCTGCCCCCGCTGCTGCCCCCGCCCCCGCCCCCGCGGCCCCGGCCTCCTGCCCTGACTCGGTGCTGACTTCTCACACTGGGACGAGGGAGCCAGGCTCCGTTTGTGTCTGGAGCAGAGGGACCGATGGGGTCCTGGGCTGGGACAGCGCGCCCTCCCCACGAAGCCCCTCCCCAGCCAGCCTGCTGGTCAGGGGCTAAAGGTTTTGCCTTCCTGTGGCCTCTGGCTGGAGAGGGGTGTGGGCAGGTGACTTTTCAAATCCACACCTAGTCAACCTTGAGTCCTCTTCCAAGCCACCAGCGACCCCCGCCAGAAACCTTCCTTTGCATAGTTTATTTTGCGCATGACTTCTTCCCCCCCCCTCCGTCCCCGGAAACGCCACGGGGGCCGCGATGCACATGTAAATACTTTACCAAACGTTTTCAAAAATTTCAGTTTTTTAATCGATTGAAACAACAACGATGAAAAACAACAAAACTAGACTCTGAGAAACAAATGCTCCCGCGAGCAGCACCTACGCGGGGCAGTCCGCCTGCCCGCCTGCAGGGAGCCAGCCTGCGCTCTCCACCTGTGACTCGATGCTGCCCCCCCACGGCGGGTCGGAGCAGCTGCTGGGCCCCCGAGGTTGTCAGGAGCAGGGCAATTAGGCAGCGATGGCAAGGGGCTCTGTCCCTGGCACGTCCTACCTCCCTGACTCTTTCCACCTTAGGGAGACACACGGAGGTGCGTGCAGGCCCCTGAGGGTGAGTTAGGGCAGCCTGGTCACGTCTGGGACAAGGAAGCGGGTCTGGCCCCTCAGCCAGCCTGTTATACACCCACACACACGCGTGCACATGCACACACACACACGCCAAGTGCCTGCGTTGGGAACAAAGACAAGAGAACTCCTTTAGAAACGGGGAACAGAGCCTCTCCTAGCGTGGCCCCCGATAAAGGCCCGTCCACCCCGAGTTCCCGGGAACTGAGTTCCCACGAATGGGCCTGGAGAGCCGGTCGGCCTCACCCATCACCCTGCAGGCCCCTCGCCCCTGCCCGGACCGGGGCTTTCAGGTGTCCCCAGAGCTTCCAAGTCGCAGTCCAGCAGCCAGCTGAACCGGTGGCTGGGGCCCAGCCGCCGGGAGAGGGCCCTGCTTTTCCCACGACCAGTGGCCCTTCCACTCCGCAGACCCCCCTTCCTACTACTTGCCCCCCAGGAAGGCTGCCCCCGCTCTCTACCACCAGCCTGACCCCAGAGGAGACCCAGGCCAGCCTTTCCGGGCCTGGGAGCCGGGGTGGGCATTGGCCTCTCCAGGTGGCCCGGCCCTGGAGATGGGGAGCTGGCCGCATGATGCCCCCTCCCCCCACTGGCCCCGAGCACTCACCCCCATCCTCCGCTCCTCTCCCTCACTGCCTCATTGTGACAGAGGCGCTCCGCCAGCTATCGGTGCCTTTGCCATTCAGCTCAGGGCAAGGTACCCGGGGAAGGCTGCGCATCCTTGCTCTGACCCCAGCCCGCCTCTCCGCAGCCAGCCCCGCTCGCCTGCTCACTCGCTCGAACGCACGCTCGGGACTCAGCTCCGTAGGAGCTGCTCAAAGGCCTAGACGTGCAGGCTGCCAGCCCGGGCAGGGAGCCGCGCTGCAGCCTCCCGGCCAAGAACCGGCCTGCCTCTCTCTGCTCGGATGCCTCCCGTAACAGGGAGCTCCCTCTCTCCCCGAGCAGCCCGCGCGGCCCGCACACCGAGCTGCTTTGCCGAGCCCTCCCCTGCTTTCTGCATCTGCCTCCGTGGCTCGCGCATTCCCCTCGCCCCCTCGCCCCTCTGCCCTGCGCGCTTCGCGGGAAGCCGGCTCCCTCTCAGCCCTCTGCTTCCCGTGCGGTGGAGCTAGCTCCCCATCGAGGGTCAGCTTTGGGGTCCCCTCCCTGTCCCCGTCCGGATAGCGGCCGTCTACGCCTGTCCCGCCTGTCCCCCGCGGCTCTGCCCCTGACGATCGGGAGCTGGGACGGAGCCCTTTGCCCTGCTGTTCTGCAGAGAGCCCAGGGGAGGGCGCGGCTCTTCCCGCCCCGGTCCAGCAGCTCGGGAACTCTGTTAAGCGGCTTCGGAGCCCTCTCAGTTTTTTTACGGCCCCTTTGCCAGTTGCCAGGGAGAATGCTCTGTATGCAAAACTCCTGCCTTTTCCGCAGGAGCCGCTCGCGGTCCTGGGCAGCCCGTGGCAGCGGCGGGCGGCGCTGTCGCTGCTGCCGGCACCAGGAGGCAGCGGACGGGGGCTGGGGGTCTCCCAAGCCAGGCAGCTGCGGCTCCACGCCCAGTCGTTAGCGGCGGCCACGGCAGTTCCCTTCCCGTTTCTGAGCCCCGGGTTTTCCCCCCAGAGGAGGATGAGAGAGGCTCCCCACCAGCTCGAAGTGAGACTAAAGGACATAAGAGTAGCCCAGCTCACAGCAGACACTTCACGGCTGCTTGTGGAGTAGCCACGGGGACCCAGGGAGGGAGGTACACACAGAACAAGTGTCGCCAGAAAGAAACCGGTCTGGCTTTTTCCAGACCCTGCTCCGAACGCAAAGGGGGTCCTTGGCCTGGCACAGACCCCTCTGCCGGCTTCACCACACACGTCAGATCAGCCAGAGGCAGCCCTTGGCCTGTGAGCTCACAGTAGATGCAGTACATGGTAAAAATGACACGTCACCCCCCGTCTGTATTTAATAAAGCAAGAACTTGCAGTGTACATAGCAGTCCGAGGGGT